TCATTCTTTGAAGCTTTTAGAAAAAGCTTCAAGATCTCAAAAACATTATGATGTGGCAATTGGAGGTTTGCAATGGTTATTTGAAGAGTTCGATGCTTTGAAAATATCTGAGGAGTAGAAAAGTAGTAGCGCTGGTGTTTTAACAAGTGAAAATATTTTTAAAGATGTTTCAAAAGATCATGAGACTCATTTTTTAAGTTATAATATAACTTTGCGCGATCCTCCTCATATGAATACTAAAGGGCGTCCTTGAACTCTAAGAATGAAAAGGGCTTTAGAACAAAGAAATAATTCAAAAATATGTTCATTCTGTAAACAAAAAGGTCATACAAAGTGCACTTGCCTACTAAAAAACCAATCAAGGTATTGTTTGATTCTTTTAAATTTGGTATAGTTTACCATATTAGCATTTCTTATTTTTTTTTCACTTTTATTTTTTTGAAGGTGTGATTCTAGCCGAGAGATAGTGTCAAATCTCAATATTGCTAAAACTTATTGTTCCATTCAATCAAATGAGATAATAATAAGTCAATATTCTAATAATTTTAGTTACTTTTTTTACTTTGTTCAAACATGTTATTTAAATTTAATCTATTAATATGTAAATTTGTCTTATTAGAACTATGAATCACTTGAAATATCTTTGTGCATGTAGGATCCAAGTGCGACTCAAAATTGGTATCAAGGACAAACAAATATGTCTTTAAAGGTTCACACTATAGATTTTACGGTAAAATAATTTACATTTTATATGATTTATCTCCTAAACATTGATAAAATTTTATAGAAATATCTTATTCATGTATTTCTTTTAATATTATTCATGATTATTTCTTTTATTTAATTTTCTTGCGGGATAGATAACTACAATGCAACAATTGCCTATTGGGACAACCAAAAAGGTTTAGGCATAGGTCCAGAAGAGGGTGCGAACAATGAAAGAATTAGCAGTCATGCATGTAACCAAACTGTATAATAGAAGGGGACAGAAAAATAGAAAAATTTTTCTTCATTCCTTCTCTACAATTTTCTGTATTTACATTGAATGTTGGCAAAATCCAATCACACACCATAATGCCCTGCATGCTTTAACCCCACTCACCCTTATCAACAACTTTTAAATTTGATAAATTAAATTGCAATAGATTCTGTTTTACCCTATGATAAATATAAATCAGTTATGTTCTTTATATTTACAATCTTACTTCTTCGACATCACCTTCTTTGAGCTCTATGCTAAGCAGTACCGGTTGACCATTAACTAGAACTAGCTTTCCATCGAGTCATGCTCTTCTTGCAGCATCTGCAGCAGTGCTGCCGGTTCTCAATCTCATTATGTCACCATGAGGCCAACATATAGTAACAACCTCCCCTAGGACAACAGAATCAGGGTTGATACTAGATTTTGCACCACCATTTTGTCTTCCAAAACTTGATTCTAAGCGTAGCTGCACTTCCCACTGGAGCATTTTCCTTAACCAACGCACCTGTGTAATTTAAAGTTAGAACTTACTCAATACATCTCATTCTAATTAGAGGAAAACTGTTCAAAAGAAAAAAAGTCATTACCCCATCAGCACATGTTATGTATCATGCATAATACAAGTAACAAGAAGAATACCTTATATTTCCTATAGTTTTATTGAAAATTTTTTTGATTAGTCAGATAATTTTTCCATTAATAAAAGGGAACATGTTAGTCCCTTAAATTCAAAAAATTTGAGTCATGTCATGTGCCAGCTAAATCGATGTATTAACCTACCATCTTCGAATGGAAAATACGAACACAAGGATGAGGAATCAAATACCTCTAACGAACCCTACTAATAACAATGTCTACCTTTAATAAACCCTACTAATAGCAATGTCTACTTTAGTGATGGCCTCTACAAATGTTTAAGATGATTGCAACCATACCTTGTGGTTGATGCTAACTTTAATTGAATTGGAAGCAACATATTCTAAACTGGGCCTAGATGCAATAAATTCAACTGGTTTGCCTTCAAAAATGGTAGACATAGCAGTCTAATATTCAAATTCTTCTTGATCTGTCAAATCAATCACTTGGATGAAGGTTGGCAAAAGGCATTCAAATTGGTCTTACTGCAAGGAAATAATTTAATGAGGTAAATAAATCTACCCACTGACTATAATGATCAATTAAAAGTTGAACATCCAAGACAAGAGACGCTAGGAGATGCAAAAGCTAACAGATATGCAGAAGTCCTGAAAAGCTTATTAAATATGTTTACTGTTGAAACATCTTAGATACTCATAAGATATGGGATGTGCCATTGATCTTTCTACAAATTCAAAAATGGCAAAGCAGAATCTAGTGAGACGAAAATAAGAGAATTAAAATCAAGTAAAAAGAATTAGAAAATCAAAAGAAGTAGGCGATAAATGCAGAGGGAGGTGACAAAGAAGAAAAAAGTTTTAATTTTAATTAATTAACCCTAAATAAATTTATTAATATTTATTTTTAAGGGCTTAAAATTTTAAATTTTATTCATTAATGAGGTGTCCTTGTGTATAGAAATGATACACCGTCACTATATGAAATATTAATCCATAATAAAAATTGCTTTGAATCCATAAAATATATGCAATTCATTAAACAGATATCTGACTATTTTAATCCTTCAATAAGCATTTTCGTGTGCCACATCACCTACCTTATTAATCGTGAGGGTTGTTCCCGATGGTCAAAATAGGGACTTTTATATAAAAAAAAAAAAAGTACATTTGTTACGCTGACCACTTGTAAAATCTCATACCCATTAGTCGATGGATAAATTTTGGTTGTTACCTACAGTTTTGCATCTTCAACTCTTTGGAAGCTGCAAGTTCAGGAGCAATAATAACTCAGAAGATAAGGTTTGAGGTAACTTCTTGGGCTTGGACCATACAAGCATATTTAATGGAGGCTCTTGTTGGAATTTTATTCTGCAGTTTCTGCTTTTAGCCTGGCGCTGCCTCATTTGAGAGTTTATTGTTGAACCCGATTGCAACGGTGCTATGCTAGAGGAATAGATTTAACATTAAGCTTCATTACACCCCCTTCCTCTCTTATCTTTGGCACTAATTTGTGCTATGAACCCTTATAGGTATGCTAAATTGGATATGTGGTTATTTTCCATTTTGTGTGCAAAAGTAAACTAAAAAGCAGTGGAAACTATCCATTATACCTTTATTTTCGCCGTTTTGGAAAAAGTAAAATTGTAACCTTGTTTTTATGAGCCCCTCCCTCTTCTTCAAGTCTTTTTTTCCTTACTTTTTTTTTCCTCAAAGTTGGTCAAGCTGACACTAGAACTTGTAATAGCAACCCAAAAGCTTCATTTCTGCAGCAACAGGGAGATGTTGCAGTTTGTGTTATCTTAATTTCATATTGAGTCCTATCATGGCCTCTCTCTTACATGGCTCATAACAAGGCAAATCCCATGTTTTTCTTGGCCTTTTACACAGATTGCCATCCTGTCAGTGATTGATATTTGATACTACAGTAACGAGGTAATAATCATCTAAACTGATTGTCTTTCTAAACATAATGTGCAATGTCTGCAGATGTTAATTTTACAAATGTCGCATATTATGATATGATGTAGAGTTTCCTTTTGTACTAGGACTAGAAATTAGACATGAATTATAGGTGAAGGACCAGACCAAGGACGTCATGTATGTGAGCAGTGAGCATATCAAGGGACCGGTTTTGCAGATGAGTTAGGGCAGAGTTATTTGGCAGGAAAGATGTCTTTCTAATTTTTTATTCCATGGTTTCCACCTTTGCTTTTAGAGGGATACTTAATGCCCCTTCAAGATATAAATAGAAACTGGTATTATATTGCCATTGATATGGGCAATTTTCATATTGAATTGTTTTGATTTACTATACTTGCTATCAATGTCGGGAAAAAGATTAATGCTGGTCTGACTTGTGCTTTTAGGTCATTGAGGAAAGGGAAAGTCGTGTGACGTTAGCTCTTGAGAAGGTAGCTGATGGGTCTGAGATGTGGAAACTGAAGTGGTTCTCTGAAGAGAGTCTATTCCAGTTTGTGGCGTTGATGAAAGCAATCCATATAGGGATGACTTTATCTCCTTTGCTTGTAAGATGTGTATCATGAAAGTTTCTAGTTTTTGTTTTGGTTTTTGCATGTTTCATATTCATTTCATTCTTTTGATTTGGGGCTTTCATTTGCTTGGTTGCTGCCTGCAAGCTCATAACTCTGTTTCAGTATTCTTTGATTTGTATTCTTTTAGATGTTAAATTTTCTCATGTACAGATTGTACGGTATAGAGTATCAAATGTAACCATGTAAGTCATCGTATTTTACCCTAGGCGAAATTTCTGTATGTTCTATTAGATATTTGTCTAACTTGAGATATCTTTAACTCTCTATAGATTTAAATTGAAATATATTAGTTATTACGATGTTTCTTTGAATTTTAAATAAATAAATAAATAAGTTTTTAAATTCCATAAATTAAGTTAAAATTTTGACTCTTATATTTTTATACTAGCTTTTTAAACCCGTACAATGTATGGGATTTTTTATTAAATTTTTCATAACTTTAAATTTATTTTTTAATTATTTATCTAATATATAATCATATATTTATAAATATTAAATTACAATTAAATGATAAATTATGCATAAAATATTATAAATGATATTGTTCATTTAAAAAAAGTTTAAATTTTTTGTAAATTTTTAAGAATTATAAAAAAATTTCATTAAAAAATATTTTTTTTAATTTATTTACTAAATACTAAAAATTTTGCTACCGTTTTTTTTTTTAATAAAAAATCAAGAATAAATATTTAAATAGTTAAAATTAATAATTGTTTTTATCATATGTAATTTTTATATAATATTTCATTTTTATTCATGGAATTCGATTTTTGAAATTACTTTTTAAAGTTTATGGATGAAATAAAATATTGAACAAAAATCATACTATGGTGCAATTTTCTCAAACAATTTGCAATATGTAGCTCAGTATTAAACATAAAATAAAGGAAATTCAAACCTTCTACTTATGCCTTCAATTTGAGCAGCTCTGAGAGAATCTTGAGGGATTGAACTGCGATTGTCCCAAGCATCAATCCGTTCTGTATTGTTGCCAAAAAGAACCAACTTCTCCAACAGCCTAACTTCACTGTCTCCCAATTTTATAACCTTGATCTGTTCCTTCAGGACCATTATAGGATTAAAGAACCAATCTAACAGTTTGTCTTTTGGCTTATTCAGATGGTTTATTTCAACACCATCGGGCAATAACAAACCATTAGAACCTGATCTGATAGAGTTGAGGAGACTCTGCAAGAAACAATAACATGGCAGGCGAACACCAATGATGGCTGCTTCATTACCACTATTTGCCTTCAACCATTCATAGAGATCCACTGGAGTTATTACATCAGCATCCAATAGTTCTTTGCCACTTATTTCACAAGATTTCATCATATTCGTCCAAATCTGTTACATTTCAGGCCAATTACCAGTAACCATTAAAAGATCAGAAAGATGTCTTCGTCAATGTTCATTTCCTTACAACTCTTTTAGTGTATGGTCTGTTTCATGGTGGGAACTCTTTTTGTTAATACTACCGATCAAACTATATTCCAGTATTAATAAAACCGAAAAAGCAATCAGTTGCAGAGAGACCAAAAAGGCAAAAACTGTTGCATAATTGAAGCCAACCTGAACCATTTTCACTTCATTTATTGCCTCTCTAACTGATAGCGAATGAACCAAGCTTGGCAAAAGCATTGCAGGTACTTCACCAGAAGTAGAACTGAATTTGCCACAAGTCGTCCAACAGAATACTCTGCTTCAGAACCACTTTTCTTGCGATAAGAGGGCCTGGCTGTGAAAAAAAAAAAAAAAAAAGGAAAATTTCAAACTATAAAAATATGCCAACATAATGCTCCGCCAGAGCCAGAAGTTCAAAAGATCAGAAAGCTGATTACCTTGGGAAGATTGTCCCCTCTAAGATAGAGCCAATCATTTGTGTACTCGTCAAATTCAGCAATCATTGCAATCACATAAGCAACGCCTCTCCGAAAAGATCTTTCCTGCATCCATGAAATTCCTTATCATCTATGAAAAATAGCCGAAATTATCAAAATAGAGACAGATCACGAAATAGATCAATTATGATAAAAATAAAGGCAAACACAAAAGTCACATAGAAAACGTTGCAGTTACATTTTCCGATTCATAAAACCAGAAGATGATAAGACCTCATTCAACAGAGAAAATCAGTAAAACAATAGATTGTATCATGCACCAAACCTATTATTATATATCACTATCATGCATTTGATAATGATAAATTATTTTAAAATTGATTTTAAATTAAGATAAAGTGATTTACAGATAAAATAATTTTATTAGAATTTAAATTAATTTTTAATTAAATTTTAAAATTTTAGATAATTTAATAATTTTTAAAATATATTTTTATAAATAATTTAAAATTAATAAATATTTTATATATCATCATAATGAAAAATTTTAAGATTTATCTTACGTATCGAAAAAAGAAACTGTTCACATCAATAATTATTATTTTATAATTATGTATGTTGTAATATAATATATATTTATTTATTTATATATATATATATTTTAATTTTTTAACACATACAAAACGTGCATGTCATAATCTTCTAATTTTGTTAATAAAATCTAAAATCGCCACCTTTGAAATAATTTTTTTAAATATACTATCAACCCCGCTAAAAATGTCCCATAAAAAAATACTCTCAAAAATCAAAACTCCATTTAGAGGTAATTTAACTTTGTCAAAGAACAAAGAAGAAAATCTAAAAATCTTTAAAAGAGAAAAGTAAAGCAATTTTTTCAATAAAAGCCAATATATGTGGCGAGTGTAGCGCTTTATGGATTGTTTTAACAATAAATGGAATCCATCGCACCAAACTTTTTTTATTATGAAGCTATTGCTATGATAACCTCGCAATTCTTGAACTGCGGATTGTCTTCATGTCCGAAAAACAGAAAGGTCCTTTGACCCCACACCCCCCCCCCCCCTTCTTTTTTTTTTTATCTTTTTCATCTTTTTTAATATCCTAAAATTATTTTTTTAAAACCCAAAATTTTTTCCTTTTTAACATTCTCAGTTTATTTTTAATTTTATAAAAAATAATTAAATTTTTGATATAAATATACTAATATAATCTAATCCATTCCATCTTTTCTTTTTTCAAATATGTCAGAATTATTTAATTTTTTTAACACATATTCTTTCTTTTTTGTATTCCAACTTTAATTTTCATTTTTAAAGTTAAAAATATTGAAAAATTATTTTTTAAAAAATTTGAAATTTTAATATAAAATAAAAAAATAAAAAATTAATTATGTGACAGTTAAAAGGAATAATAACCAAATATGTCCTCAAACTTCAATAAAAATAAAAATAAGATTTTAATATTTTTATTTCATTAAAATTAAAATTATGAACTTTTGTTTTATTTTATGTTATTTTATTAAAATGAGAACCTAATGTTGCATAATATTTCATATTCCATGACATTTTGTTAAAATCTTCTTTATTGGTTGATGTAAACTAAAAAAAGAATACCACTTATCTAAATTTATTTAGATGATTTAAATGAAAATACTTGAGAAAATATTGTTTCAATAATTTAACACATTTTCAATTTTAATTAATATAATTATAATAAAATAAAAATTATAACCTTAATTATTTGCAATAAAATATTAATGATGTACATTTTTTTGTAAAATTTAAAATTTTATTTGAATATTATTATCACAAGTAAAAAATAAAATATAGAACTATAAAAAAGGGATGGAGCAAAGTCATTTGGGTTTGATAATCAAGTTATTCAAATTCGAGATGTTCAGGTTTAAATCATCTCATATTAAAGTTATTAATTTTTAAAATTAAATCAAATTGGAACTTGAATGAATTATTTAGATAAAATCAAAAGTTATCAATTGTAATTAAATTATTCAAAGCTACATTTTCATCAACTTGTATTATATCTCTAATTTTTATTTTTGATATCGTAAAAAATTTTATTTATGATGTATAATTGTAAAAAAAAAAAAAATTATTTATGGTGTATAATCTTGTAAATTGAATTTAGTTATAATAATAACACATTTTTATTTTTCAAATGTTTCTACTCGAATACTCATAATTAAAAAATAATGGCTAAATATTTATAAAAATATTAAAAAATAATTTAAAATTATTAAATATTAGTAGGCTACTAATTTGCATTGAAATGACAATAGGTATTGAATATCCAAGAACAAAACCTTACCCGACCCAATTATATAAGATTTGGGTTGGAGGACTTTCGGTTAAAAAGATTGCTATTCATTTCGAGTTCTGTAAAGTGTGAGCATCACCCTTTGGATACGCAGTGTTTGAATCAATCATGTTTTTTTAGGATAGCTAAAAGTATCCGAACCTCCTAACTCGTTTATATTTTTATTATTTAGATAAATATATATTAATTATTAAAAAGAATAGATTAAGTTACACAAAAAAAAGAATTTTGTATCTTTTTATATTATTTTTAATTATTGATTTTAATAAATTTAAAAGATTATAAAAATAAGTAAAAGAAATAATTTAATCTCATCTATTAAATTTATTAAATTCAATGATTAAAAAAATATAAAATTAAAAAATTGTACACTTATATAAATTGACTACATTTAATGATATATAAAAAATATATATTGGCTACATTTAATGATATATTATATTACAATGACAAATAAGGAAATTATTGCAAAGATAATGTAATCTGAGCAAATAGCTTTGGAAATTAAAAACTTTGGCAGGTTAACCAACATTACAATTTGTGATGCTATTAATTAAATTATTTATGCTTTAATTTTTGAAGTAATGCCACCAAGTATTGTTTCTGTAAGCAAATTAAGGTTTCTCTTTCAAAACAAAAGCAACAAAAGCAGCACCTCTGGGATCCTAGTTCAGATCAAGACTCTACTTCATTTTAGTCTGGATTTGTATCTTTTCATTTCCTTCATTTTTGTCAATTTTTAATTTGTGTTATATTTATTATTTTTATTAAATTAATTTTTAAAAAATAAAATTATATTTGGATCCAATTTTTGAATTAATTGGGATTCGAATCTGAAAATAATCAAGACTTATTTTGGATTTAGGTTCAAATGTTTTCAGAAATTTGGATTGTTGACTTTTTTTTTTTTTTCACATTTGGATTAGTTTTGATAGTTTTACCATGAGCTTTTGACTTGTAAACGCTAAAACTAGATGTTCAAACTTAACAAAGAAAGCTTCTTCTTTTTTATTATTATGAAAAACTTTTACTTTATTTATAGTCCTGACAAAAAAAATTCAGATTTTGCAAAATACATAAATTGTTATGACATTTTCCCCTTTCAAGAAAATTACAAACAAAAGATGCCAAATCCTTTTTTTTTAAAAAAATTTTTAAAAGACAATAAGCTTATCCATCTTTGAATTTTACCAAATTAAAAAAAAAATAATAATTTTAGTGTATTTAATATTAAATTTTAAAATTATTTTATAAAATTGACATTTCATGATTTTTTAAATATAAAAAATAAAAATATATATATGAAAAACAATTTTTAAATATTTAAATGTTTAAAAAAATGAATATAATTTTATATATAAAAAAGGAGTATTATATTGCTGTGTAGAGAAGGAAATAATTACTAAAGAAGATTTAAGAAGTTAACCCCGGAAGCCAGATTAATGTTTTTCTTTGAACAGATTGTATTTGCACGCTAGAAAAATATTATCCAACGCCACCGCTACAGATCCCAGCGAGCGACACCGGGAATCTACAAAGAGCGCCAGCCCTTGATTTCCCTTCATCATCATCACAACCTGCAGAAGGAGGAGGCAGCACCCTCCCATCAGCAAACAACATTCGTCCATTCCTCGCCTCCAAATGCTCATCATGCGGCGTTCCCATCACCCCCTCAAGCTCCGCCGCCGCACCGTAAAACGCCCCGTCCCCAAACCTCCTCTCCACCTCCAGAAACTCTCCAAGGGAAGCCGGCTTAGCATTCCCGTCCCCGTCCCCGCATAGCTGCCACCACTTGCTCCGCCGCCTCTGTAGTCGCTCCGCCCCGAACGCGGGAGTTGTCAGCGCCCTCCTCTTCTTGGGTTTAGACCCCGTCGAAGATGAACCGGTGTTTGTGGGTTGCATCTGGCCATGGTGTTGGGAAGGAGCTCGAAAAGTAATAGCTGGAAAACTGACTCCCATTAAAGTACCCAATGAGGTGCTTCTATCATGGAAAAAGGAACCTGTCGACTTCATTTAAAAAAAAAAAAAGAAAAAAAAACAAAGAGAAAATTGTGAAAATGGATGAAAGTATTGGAAATTTGAAAAGGCCTATGAACGCTGACCTCAGTGTCAAGATCGGAGGAGGAAACGGAGGAGATGGTGGGGGATGAGGGTTGGGGTAGCAAATCGGAGGTTGGATCTACCATTTTTTTTTAAATTAATTTTTAGTTTCAAATTTTGATGGGATTGGGTTATAAAGACAAAAGACTTGGATGGCTAATTGGGGTTAAACAACAGCGATGGTGTAAAAAAGAGTTTAGAAATCATTATGGTTGCCTTGCCTTTATTCCGTTGTCCACCCCATCTTTTGCCTCATTACGGCACCCCCATTTTTTCCTTTTATACTCTAATTTTCTAAAAAAGTTTTTATAAATAAAATTATTTAATTATTTATCATAACTTTTTAAAATTTTATAATTTTCTAAAAATAAATTTTCAAAAAATAATATAATTTTTCAAAAAATAAATTTTTAAAAGGTCAAACTTTTTCTAAATAAATTTAAAAAAAGTTATATGAGTTTTCATAAATTTATTTTTGAATGTGAAATAGTAAAAATTTTACTTAAAATGTTTCTTAAATATATTTTCGAAAAAGTTTATAATATTGTAAAAATCTATTTTTGAAATGTTATAGTTTTCAAAAAATTATATAATTTTTTTTAAAATTTATTTTTAAAAAAAAATTATAACTTTTTAAAAATTTATTGTCAAAAACTTGTATGAAGGAAAAAGAGTAATTAAATAATTTTACTTACAAAAAAAAAAATTTTAAAAATAAAGTGTGAAGAAAAAATGTTGGAGTGCATTTAGCACCACTCTTTTCATTTCCTTTTAATTTGATTTTAAGCTTTTTGAATTGTACAAATGACATCTTTTATTCTATTTGTTTTTTTATGCAACTTCTTTCCAATTTTTACTTACAACTTCTTTAAAAAAAAATGGTTACCCTTTTTTTTTTTTACGCACGATATATTAGATTATACAATAAAAGAGAATTCTTTTGCATTTTATAAAATCTTATTTCACTTACATTAATTTTTGAATTTGAATACAATAGGTTGTTTTGCTTTATCACTAAATTTTCATATTGAATTTGTGAGTTTCACCTTTATTTGCGTATAGGTTTAAATTTTAGAAGTTGTCATTAAATTAATTTATTAAATTATGTAATTATTTATACATATTTAATTTATTTAATTTTTAATTATATAATTAATTATTTAATTATTGTATAATTATATTGTAAACACTTAATTTTGTATGAATTATCTAAAATAGGCTTTGATTTCCATTGGAACTTAAATTCATTAGGCTTCACTAGATTTAATTACGTGAGTCAAAATCCGATTCAAAGTTGTGTGGGCTAAGGCCCAATTTTTGTTAAATGGCATATTTTGTATTGGGCAAAGGCCAAAATTCAATTTTTTGGGCTCAAACCCGTAATCCTGGCCCAAAATCCATGTGAAGGCCCAATTTTTTTAGTTTTTAATTTTTAGTTTTGCAAATAAATACATTAATAAATAATTATTTTTAAAAAAGACAGAAAGCTTGAAATGTGAAAAACTTTGAATATGTCGAATTCAAGCAATTTGATCATTGATTGACATGCTCTGCCATTACCTAATTTGGCAACAGAAAATTTAGACTTTCAAGTCCCAAAAATTTTGAGATTTGCTGGATTTAGCTCTTTAAACTAAGCAAGCAAAAGGTCATGGTTTAAAAAGGGACAACAAGAAGAACTCTGCCCTAACCATCAATGCCTTCACCATTTCAGCTGATATAAAAAAAAATTCCAACCGAAACCTCTTCTACAACCAAACCACCACCATCAACAACACCCATCATCTAAAACCAAAAACTCCCACACAATAACCCATTGTCAAGCTTTAAAAACACCCTTACCAATAACCAGACCACCATCCTCGACCGAACCTGCATCAAAGCCCCTCACTACCTCTATTAATCAAAAACCCCAAAAATAGTAATGCCACCACCTCCTTACAAGCTGAAAAAAAAAAGCATTTGGCCATAAAAATCATCCCACTACTATCAAGAATTGAAACCAAAAATCAACACAAAAAAAAACCCTCACAATTGATGAAGAGCCTAATAGCAAACAAAAAAATTCAAAAAAAAAAAGAAAGAAACGAGACATAAGCAACTTTCGCAGGGGTTTTTGACTAAAAAGAAAAATGAAAAAGAATGAGAAAGAAGAAAAAAAAAAGGAAAGAAAAGAAAGAAGAGAAAAAGAAAGAGACAAGGCATCGATGTTTGGCTAGGAAAAAAGGAAGAGGAAAGAAAAAAAAAAAGAAGAAGAGAAAAAAAAGGAAAAAAAAGAAGAAGAAATAGTCGATGGTGAAAAAAAAAAAAGAGGTGCTGATGTCGATTGGGAGAAAGGGAGAAAAAGAAGAAAAAAAAGAGCACTAAGCGAGTCAACCTGACTCGTGGCCTTATTTAGCTTAACCAACGCCTACTACCTGACCCTCTTCAGTAGTTTAATCTACCTAGATTGATTTTTGGTCATACCTGAACTTCAAGTGGTTGGGCTTTGTAGACCTAAGATTTTGGGTTTCAATACCAAAGTTTTGTTTGTGTATGATTTTTATACATTTTAGGCTTCTTATTTGAATATTTTACATTATTTATTCCAATAACATTTTTATAAAAAATATTTGCCTTGAAATAATTAATAATGTTTATGAAAATAAATATTTCGTAAAAAATTATTATTAATAGTTATTTTTATTTTTTTAATTTTTGTGTGAAAATTTTTACTGTTAATGTTAGAAAAAGATGAAACTTTTATGATGATTAGATATTAAAGAATTTTGAATCATGATTTTTTAAAAATTTTTAGGTGAGAATATTTTTCTAAAATACTAACAAAGTACTGAAATATTTAGAAATATATTCAATACAAAAATGTTTTCATTTATTTATTTTTCGTAATAAAAAATATAAAATCAAAATAAAAGATAAGATTTTTTTTAAATAAGGTCACGTATAACAATGTGAAAATAGTAATTGTAAGCCTCAGAAGATGGGATTTTAAGAAAATTTAAATAGTGATTCCTAAAAAATTTTTAGATGAAAAATTTCTTTTAATGTTACCAACGTACTAAAACATTTTTAAAATTTTCAATAATAAGGTTCTAATTTATTTTTTGAATAAAATGAAATAATTTTTAAGAAAACTTTGACAATAATAAAGGGAAGTTAAGAAAATTATTTTTCAATGCCAAAATTAAGAATTTTTTTTGACAAGATTAAAGAATAACACATAATTAATTGATATCATTTTTGAACGAGTGTTATCGGGATGCTAATCTTTCTTCACGTGTAATTGTTCTTCAAAATCCAAATTGTTTCGTGGACCCAAAAATTATCTTTGTAGTAAGTTTTGTTTAATTTTAAAATTTTATTAAAATGATAAGTTTTAATTGGTAGCCAATCACACTTAGCCAAAAAAATTGGTAGCGACTCTTCTTTTTTTTCTTAATTTATCTAGCAATTCTCAAAATCATTACGACAGCTTAATGATTCCACTGGGGACGCAATCTTTTTTTAGGAGTTAGGCCAAAATTAATTATGTGTTATCCTCAATTTTGATTTAAATTGTCTTAATTGGTGTTTATGTCTAATATCCTCAATTTTATTTTTGTTTCTTTTTCAATTAAAAAAAAAAGAAAGATCAAAATAAAAAAATCCCAAAAAAATAAAAAAATCAATAACAAAAAAATTACATGTATTGCATTTTAACAATGCCATTTGTTTATTCTTTATTTTATTTTTCTGTATATATTATTCTTTATAAATTATAAGGTATTTAGGATAAAGATTGTTGCATTATTTTCTCTCTTACACACACTACATATGCATTACATAATATGAGCTTTAGACCTAGGCTCTGTCCTTCTTAGGAGAAGGTAAAATAATTATGCTCTCATGAGGTGTTAAGCTCCACAATGGCTAGCAAAATATTCTCACTCAAATTGAATCATTTCTATTTACAACCTGCCATAGGTGAGGATTAGAGTACCTTACTAGTTTATAATGGACGACAATGTGAGGAACAATTTAAAAATCTTTAGACATATAAATTATGACCCAACATATATTAAACTTTAAAGGGCCAACCTTAGGTAGAGCTATGTTGAATCTTTTTGCAGAAATTACCTGAATTAGGACAACTTGCATTTAAGGGGAATAATATTGCGAAGAAAACTTAAGTTTTGAAAAAAGAATAAAAAATATTTCCAATAAATTTTCTGTGGACATACAGTTTGATTCGTCTTTTGTTTATCTAAAATTTGCATTTTTTATTTTTTTTAAAAAAAGATTTTCTTGTATTTTCCAAAAATAAAAAAATTTCAAATTTTTTTTTTAATTTCTTTGTTTATTGGCTAAATATAAAAAACAAAAATATGCAAAAAAAAATTGAATTTTAGCCATTTTATGTGCTTGTTTTTTCATAAGAAATGTATTCTTAAATTCTTATTTCTCTTTAAAAAAAAAAAAAAAAAGAGGAAAAAAAAAGGAAAGAAAGAAATTTTTGATTTACCATGTACATTTCATTTTATCCTTTTTACACCCATTTTCATCATGTTTTGTATTTGAAAATAACAAAATTGTACATATATTTCATTTCATATACATTTGAATGGTAATGTCCATTTTATTAAGTTTGCATAATACATGCATTACATCGTGTAAACATATCTTGTCATATGTTAGTGCATTTCTTATAAGCATGTTTCATCATTCATGTAGTATGTCCAATCAAGACACATGTAGTATGTTCTATCAAAACACACTGTTAGCTTTATAGGTGATATGGTAATCCAATAGGAGGTGATTGGATTTCTTTAAGTTCTTCCCAAACAATAATTTCAAAATAATTGAATAAAAATTAAAACAATAAGTACCTTTGATGAAAATATAATGCAAACAATAACAATTAATTAACCTAAAATCAAATATAAACAACAATAAACTGTAAGAAAATAAGGATAAAGAAATTAAACACAATAATTTATAGACGTTTGATCCTTCTTTACAAGGCACCTACGTCTTCTCTCTTGGTTGTCCACATGAAAGCTTCAATCCACTAATTGAAGAAAAACTTTTACAAGATACAAACCTATCTTGTACTAAATCTCTATCTTTTTTTCAAGGCTTAGATAGCAACCTCTACCTTTATAATATCAAGAGGATACCTCACCTTTTACTTACAAGATAACCC